GAATGTGTCCACAGCATTTTTACAGTCCCATTAGTAGTGTGTAAGGGTCCTAATTTTCCCATATCCTGTTCACTTTTAACATCTTTAGATACAAGGAATTTCTTTAGTTTATATAAACATTCATTATCTATCTATAGATCCTCTGAAAATTTGTTACTCTGACATTTGGTCCTTGTGAACTGTTCACCTCTGAAAAATACCTTGCCATAACATCAACAATTAAACTGGAAACAGTAACAATGAGGTGGGTATGTGTCAAACAACATTTCATATTAGGGGTAAACTGAAAACAGCATGAGCCGCCCCAGGAAGTCTGTCTCCAACTGACTGCACACTTATTTACAAGTACTTTAGAAAAATATACAAGAAATCTAATTTCAAATTAATATACTGCAGTAGTTTATGTTTGGTGATAATGTAGTATCATAATGACTGCATATGACAAGATTATATATGACAAAACAACAAAACTCGATGACCTAAGAAGCTGGGGTGGAATAGGGGATGCCATCATTACCTTGACTTCTTACTTTTAGCTATGTAAAGCTAAAAGTAGTTAAAGTCATTTCCCCCAGTAAAACTCCCATGATGCAAGAACAAAATCAACACACAGGAGGATGGAAAACATCAGAACCTGGGTATGTGAATGTGAGGCACGCAGTCCTACCTAATAAAATGGCTTGAGAATCCTGGCCAACTGACTTACAACTTTTGTCTTACTGACCTATAAACTCCAACTTTATGTACTCTCCCTGCCAAACCCATCTCAAAATCCATTGTAACATGGATAAACATAGAAAACATGCTAGGGTCAGACACGATAGCCTAGTGACTGACATCTTCACCTTGCAAACACTGGGAGCTGGTTCATGTCCTGGTGGCCCCGCTTCCCATCCAGCTCCCTGCCTGTGGCCTGGGAAAGCAGTCAATGATGGTAGAAAAGCCTTGGGATCCTGCACCTGTGTGAGATTTCCAGAAGAGGCTCGTGGTTCCTGGCTTCAGATCAGTCCAGCTCTGGTTGTTGCAGCCACTGGGGGAGTGAATCAGTGGATGGAAGATCTTCCTCTCTGAATATCTGATTTTCCAATTAAAAAAAAAACTTAAAAAAGAAAACATGCTAAACAGTTAACTGGATACAGGAAGAATACTTTATATGAAGTTACCATAAGACCAAAAGTAGAACAGAGATGATCATTTGTTTAAGACACAGAGCAGGAACTGAGGAATTATTAACCAGAAATAGTCTTTGGGAAAAAAGTTCTGGAAATGAATAATGGTAACGACTGCACAACACCGTGAATGTAATTAGGTCACTGATTAAAATGGAAAATTTTGTTTTACATATTACATTTACATCATTTACATATTACATTTACATCATTTGTTTTACATATATTTTATCACATAAGCCTAGAAAAAATAGTGTTAACAGGAATAAATATGCACAAGTGATCTTTTCGGCATTACAAAAATGTACTAAAACTGGATCATGGTGTTATAGTTGCACAACTCTGTAAACTCACTAGATTTTTTAAAATCACTATTTCAACATTTACATTATGTACCATGAAAGTTAGTTGCAATAATATTCACAAAAAATGAATATTTACTGAAAATGTTACACAGAAAAAAATCCTTTTCAAAACAGGTATCAATTTCTAAAGTTTGTTTATTCAAAAGGCAAAGTAAAAGTGAGTGAATGAGATCTAGTCAATGGTTCACTCTGCAAATGCCTCCAGCTGGGTGGGGCCTACCCCAGGAGGTGAGGAACTTCACCCTGGCTACCCTGCTGGTGGCTGAGGTCTGTGCTGCCTCCCAGAATGCATCAGCAGGAAGCTGGATTGGAAGCAGAGTAGCCAGACTTGATCCATTCAGTACCTCACAGTACTCCAAATGGCAGCGAAGCATGCAGTACTCAACAGCTACCCTCCAAAAATTTTGTAATATGAATGTTTTATATTCTCTTTTAATGTGCGATCTTTTTTTAAAATTGTTTCTTTTGTGCTATTAACATCTACTACAAGCCATCTGTAAAGTACTTACTTACATACACTATTAGGTACTTTATCATGTATTCTTAAATCTGTTCAACAAGTTCTTAAATAGACGCTATTACCTCTACATGTTGGAAAAAGTGTCAGATAAGGTAACTTGAGACTGTAAAGGTTGAAACAGTGAATCTGAAATGAAAACATACGTCTAGCTCTCTTCAAGAATCAATTACACAGAGGCCAATGCTGTGGGAGAGGCTGGGCCCCCACTGACATCCCGTATAAGTGCTAATTCAAGGTCCTAGCTGCTCTACTTCTAATGCAGCTCCCTGTTAACGCACTACCACTAGGAAAGCAGTAAAGGACGACCTCACCTCTTGGGCCCCCGCAGGAGAGCTGGAGGAGCAGACAAAAAGAGAGAGGGAGCTTCCATTTTGGTGGCTCACTCCTCAACTGCCCACAATAGCTGGTGTCAGAGCCAAGAACCAGAGATGCAATCCAGGTTCTCCATACTGGTGGCAGGACAGAACCCTCACTGCTATCCCAGCTCTGGATCAATAGAGACTAGGAATCTGCACCTGTGGCAGGGTTGAAGCCCAGGTACTCCATTACTGGATGTGATGTCCCAAGGAGTGTGTTAATCTCTGTGCCAAGCTAAGGAATCCTCAATTTTTCACATTTAAAATTTATATAAGCAAAGACATTAAAATTGAATTAATTTGTTTTAACATCTATGTAGAAGTTCATAGCAGAAACACGTAATTAGTAAATTCACTCTCCAGCTCAGTATTTAGGCAGCAGTTTATTGACACTAAAACCAATGTTGCAGGACTGGTGTTGCAGAACAGCAACTTAAGCTACTGTTTGCAACTTTGGCTCCCAATTTGGAATGTTAGTTGTAAAATCCACTTTAGTTGTAAAATAAACTTAATGGGTCTCTTTTCCCTCTGGGATAGCTGTACTTTGTTGCCCAACATCCAGTATCTTAAAAACCCTTTTTTCATGTTATTTTCTCTTTTTTTCCAAGTCCTTTGTTTTTATATAAGAAGCAGATTTACACAAAGAAGAGAGACCTTCCATCTGCTGGCTCACTTCCCAAATGGCCACAATAGCTGTAGCAGAGCTAATCCAAAGCTGGGAGCTTCAAATGGATCTCCCATTTGGATGAAGGGCCCAGGGACTTGAGTCATTCTCCATTGTTTCCCCAGGCCATAGGCAGGGAGCTGGATCTTAAGTGGAACATCCAGGACTCGAACCAGTGCCCATATGGGATGTTAATGCTGCAGGCAGAGCACTAGCCTGTTCAGCCTCTGCGCCATTCTTTATTCTTCTTTTGTTAAAATTTATTTTTTATTTGAAAGCCAGATTTACAGAAAGAAGAGGAGGATATGCACCAGGGAAGTAAGGGGGGAAAAAGCCCAAGTAAGAGTGTCCCTTTGATCCACATGGGAAATGGCGATGGAACTCCTGGCTGCCTAATTCAGTCTAGTCCAAACATGACCGAAGTGGACATTCTGGAAGTGATCAAGCAGATATAAAATTTATGTTTCCTCTTCTTTCCCTCCTGTCACACTTTCAAAATAAATCCTAGGGCCGGCATGATAGCTCAGTGGCTAAATTTTCACCTTGTACCAATAAGACCACACAGGGGTACCAGTTCATGTCCAGTCTGCTCTGCTTCCCATCCACCTCTCTGATTGGTCTGGGAAAGCAGTAGAAGATGGCCCAAAGCCTTGGTACTCTGCACCCACGTAGGAAACCCAGAAGAAGCTTCTGGCTCCTGGCTTCGGATCGGCCGAGTTCTGGTTGTTGAGCTGGATCAAATAAATAAATTCTCCAACAAGCTCCCTGCTTGTGCCTGGAAAAGGATGGCGTATAAGGCCTTTGGACCTGGCACCTGCATGGGAGACCCAAAAGAAGCTCCTAGCTTTGGAGCAGCTCAGCTCTGGCCATTGCAGCTACTTTGGGAGTGAACCAGTGGATGGAAGACCCATACCTCTCCTTCCCTCTGTATAATTTGCCTTTCCAATAGAAATATAAATAAATCTTAAAAATTATGTATCTCAGGAAAATTTACTGGTTTATAAATAAATGTCTTTATTCCCTGCCTAGCTCAATCCTTCCTCTTACTTTAAGCATACAGAGACAAGTCTTTTACCAACAAAGTATTAACACAGTCTAGTTTATATAAGACATACACAAATTTATCCCTTCATGACTAACAATGTCAGTTTCACTTTTTGTATTTTTGTATTTAAAAAATCAAAAAATAAAAGACTGACTGGACCCGGCTTGATGGCCGAGCAACTAAAGTCCTCACCTTGAACACTCCGGCATCTCATATGGGCACTGGTTCTAATCCTAGCAGCTCTACTTCCCATCCAGCTCCCTCTTTGTGGCCTGGGAAAGCAGTCGAGGTCGGCCCAAAGCCTTAGGATTCTGCACCCACATGGGAGACCATGGAAGAAGCTCTTGGTTCCTGGATTTGAATTGGCTTGGCTCCAGCCATTGTGGCCATTTGGGGTGTGAATCAACAGATGGAAGAGCTATCTTTCTGTAAATCTGCCTTTTGCAACAAAAATAAATAAGTCTTATCAGATGGGTGTTTAACACAGGAGTTTAAGACAAAACTTGAGACACACTCAAGTGTCCTGTTACAATAGTGGCTTGGCTCCTGTTTCTAGTTTTCCATTAATGTGCACTGAAAGGCAGCAGATGATGGCTGAAGTACATAGGTCTTCGCCACCTACATGGCATACTCAGGCTGAGTTCCTGGCTTCAGCTTCTGGACGAGTGAACTAGTGGATGCGTGGTATCTGTCTCTCTCTTTCAAATAAACTGAAAATATCAAGGACCTCAGAGACTGCTTGTGGCTATAGCTAATTAGTCACCATACAAATCTGTTTCAAAAAAATTCATGGACTTTGTGCTGGTACTGTGGAACAGTGACTTAAGCTGCCACTCTCTTGGAGTTCTGGCTAGTCAATTTCTTCTTCTTCTTCTTTTTTTTTAAACACAGAAGGCTTCACGGATTTGTCTGCCATCCTTGTGCAGGGGCCATGCTAATCTTGTCTCATTCCAACTCCAGAATATGTGCTACCGAAGTGAATACTGGCTAATCCAATTCTGATCTAACTTCCTATAGATGTGCTTGGGGAGGCAACTAAAGATATGGCCCAATACTTGTGTCCCTGTCATTCATGACAGACCCAGATGGAATTCCTGGCTACAGCTATGCTAAGACCTGGCTATTGCAGCCATCTGGGGAATAAATCAGTGGCTGCTAAAATCTCTCTGCCCTTCAAATAAATAAATAAATCTGCTTTGAATTCCATGGAAAAGGGAATGAAGATAATGTACATAGTCCAGAAATTTTTGGAAAAACTCATATAAAAAACAATTTTCTATATGTTAAAAATAAATCCATACCATGTTAACGTAACTTATTATTTTTGAAAAATAACTTTTCTAAAAAAGAACAATTTAGTCAAAATGGTGGCATTTCACATTTTTTACAAGCCTCTTTAGTCTTTGGCTTAATAGAATACAGCTGAATTCTCATGGCTGCCTCCACATTCAATATGCTGTGATAGACTGTTCTGGTTAAAGTAAATGGGAAAAAAAACAGCTTCACACAGATGCATAGTTAGAAAGGGAGAAGTACTATGTTTCAAAATTTAAACCTAAAGGTTTCATCCAAATTTTTACAACCTTTAAAGCTGTGACAAAATTTAAGACTTGGAAAGAAGTTTCAAATATTCTTCACTCTGACTCCACACCCCAAGTTAACATACAACAATAGCACAATTATTGAAACCAGAAAGCAAATAGTGTAATTACAATACCATTCTCAACAGCTTTCCTACTGACACTTTTCAGATCCAGGATATACTCTGCCATTTCCCATCGCATTTAGTTGTCCTGACTCTGGTCTCTCTCAATCCATGACAATATTTTTTTTTCCCCTTCACCCTAACACTTTTGAAGAACATTGGTCAAATTTTTTGTAAAGTGTCCTGTCCTTCATTCTAGGTATATCTGACTTTTCTAATTAGATTAAAGTTATGTATTTTTCAAAAGAATATCATGGAAGAAACGATGTGTCCTTTTTATAGTACCATCATATCAAGAAGTACATCACAACAATACAGAAAGTCCCTGAGTTATGACAGTCTGACTTCCAATTTTTAAAAATATCTTTTACTTGAAAGGCAGAGACAGGAGAGAGAGAAATCTTCCATCCATTGCTTCACTCCCTAAAGGGCCACATCAGCCACAGCTGGTCAGATCAGAGCTGGAGCCTGGAATGCTGCTGCATCTCCCACGTGGTTAGCACAGGTTCAACTGCTTAGGCCACTTTCTGCTGCTTTACCAGGTGCATCATCAAGGAGCTCAACTGGAAACACAGCAGCTGAGACTCAAATCAGCACTATAATATGGAATGCCATAAGCAGTAGCTTAACATACTATGCTACAATGTTGGCCCAACTTACAATATTTTTTGATTTTACATTGGTGCAAAAGCCAAATAAGGCTAGCAGAAATTGTACCTTGAGCTTTGAAACTTTATGGACAAGCAACACACAGTATCTCCTCTTACGGTGTTGGTAGCCAAAACTCTCACTCACATAATCAAAATGGGAAATACCTAGTACAACAGTGTACTATACCATATAAAATACAATTTTCAATACTGACATTGTCAACTTATGCTGGATTTATCAGGACACAATCCCAATGTAAATCAAAGGGAGGTACTGTATTATTATTGTTGTTGTTGATGTAACTTTAACTACTTCGTTGAAGTGGTGTCTATTTGGTTTCACCACTGAAACATTACTAGGAAAAGACACACAGAAGCTATGCAAATATCTGTCTTGTATAAAACTTCTGTTAATATTAAAATCCACAGATAAGCCTTTCTTTTTCCTTAAAGACTGTTTGCTTGTAAGGCAGAGTTACAAAGAAGAGAGACATAGAGGGATGTTTGTCTGGTTCCCTCCCCAAATGACCACATGATCAAGAATGGGCCAGGCTGAAGCCAGAACCCTAGATCTTACATCTAGGTCTCCTATGTGGGTGGCAGAAGCTCAACTCAAGTACTTGGCCATCTTTCGTTGCTTTTGCAGATGCATTGGCAGGGAAGCGGCATAGCTGGGACTCCAACCAGTAATCATTTGGGATGTCTGTGTTACAGGAAGTGGTTTAACCTCTAGCCCAACAGATAATTCTTTCCTGCAACAATTACATAGTATCTGCCTGTTTCAACCATCCTATTGCATTAGTTTGAATTTCATTAACAGCTGTCCCAGAGCCATTTATTTATTGAAATATTTACTTACAGTATTGTCAATATTCATTTTAACATCTGGGTTTATCTTTTTTCTTCAGACTGCCCCAGTAACTAGAAGCTCCTTCAAGCTGGCTCCCCAATACTACTTCAGCATTTCACTGGTTCCTCGTACCACATGATGTTCTGTGGCTACTTTATTTTTTCTCAGCCTTCCCAGTTCTCCAAGGATCTCCAAGTGGCTAAAACTCAAGATGTGATGTTGAACATACTTACTGTTATACTGGTATCACTGCTTCCAGGCCCTCTCAAATAAATTTACATGAAAAATGCAAACACACCGCCTAGAGCAGTAGCCTAGTGGCTCAAGTCCTTGCCTTGAACGCACCATGATACCATATGGGCACCAGTTTGTGTCCCACGGCTCTGCTTCCCATCCAGCTTCCTGCTTGTGGCCTGGAAAAACAGCCAAGGATGGCCCAAAGCCTTGAGGTCCTGTGCCCGCATGGGAGACCCGAAGAAAGCTCCTGGCTTTTGATCAGCTCAGCTCCAGCCTTTACAGCCACTTGGGGAGTTAATTAGCAGATGGAAGATCTTCCTCTCTGTCCCTCTTTCTCTCTGTATATCTGACTTTCCAATAGAAAAATGAACAAATATTTAAAGGAAATACAAACATTTCTATTTTATTTGTATGGGCATATATATATGAAATCAAATGCTGCTTAATAGTAAAATGAGGTGTTATTAGCTGATTTTGTTGTCACAAACTAAGATGGCTACATAACAGCAATATTCCATTGTGTATGTGGTATATGATTATATACATATATATTTTTTTAAGATTTATTTATTTTTATTGGAAAGTCAGATATACAGAGAGGAAGATCTTCCATCCAATGATTCACTCCCCAAGTGACTACAGCAGCCAGTACTGTGCCGATCCAAAGCCAGGAACCAGGAGCTTCTTTCAGGTCTCCCATGTGGGTACAGGGTCCCAAGGCTTTGGGCCGTCCTCGACTGCTTTCCCTGGCCACAGGCAGGGAGCAGGATGGGAGGCAGGGCTGCCAGAATTAGACCGGGCACCCATATGGGAGCCCAGCGCGTGCAAGGTGAGTACCTTAACCACTACGTTATCACGCCAGGCCCCATGTATGTATTTTTAATTGACAAATTTTTATTCTCAAAATTTTTTGATTTGGGAAGCAAAGAGACAGAACACCTGAGCTCCCACCTGCTGGTTCACTCCTCAAATGCTCACACTGGCCAGTACTGGACCAGGCCACAGCTGGGAAAGGGAACTCAATCCAGGGATCCAATCACTTGAGCTATCACCTACTGCTTCCCAAGGTGTCCTTTAGCAGGAAGCCAGAACAGGATTAGAGCTGAGTCTTAAACCCCGACACCCTGACAGGGGATGTGCAATCTCCTTTCAACTTAGGCCAAATACCTGCCCCTGTGGATATGTTGGGCTCTTAGGGATTCCAGAGAGGGGTGTTTCAATAGCTTTCTCAATTGATCAAAACTGCAGATATATACCTTATTACCACTTAAAACTCAACGTATATGGGACAAGTACTCAGATGAAATTTTTCCAACGACTTATAGTTAAAAACCCATGAAATGATGTCCAACATCTTTAGTTACTAGGCTATGCAGCCCAGAACCACAGTAAAGGAGGCAGGAGGTTAATCCACCACAAGTCTGCATTCCTTAGTGCCATGTATAGTCCAGTCCTGGCTACTCTGCTTCAGATCAAGACTTAGCAGATAATGGCTCATGAACCCTAGCTGGGAGACCCAGATGGGAGTTGGGGTCTGGCTCCTGATTCAGGTAATCACTGTTGGAGCCATTGTGACCCATCAAATGGAACACATGTCTGTCTTGAAAAAAGTAAAAAGAAATCTTTTTGAAAACCATCCAAATGGGCCTGACATGGTAAGACTAGTGGCTAAATCCTTGCCTTGCATCCACCGAGATTCCATATGGGTGCTGGTTCGTGTCCTGGCTGCTCAAATTCCTTCCAGCTCCCTGTTTGTGACCTAGGAAAGCAGTAGAGGATAGCCCAAAGCTTTGGAACTCTGTACCCATGTGGAATACCCAGAAGAAGCTCCTGGCTCCTGGATTCAAATCGGCTCAGCTCTGGCTGCTGTGGCCACTTGGGGACTCTTCTTCTTTTCCCATTAAAAAAAAAACCAAACAAACAATGGGCAGTTGGTTGAGCTGTTAGAGCAAAATGTGCTGCTTGTGATCTGATGTCAGTACCCCACGCTGGAGGGTCAGTTTGAGTCCCCAGCTACTTCACTCCTGACGTAGCTCTCCTACTAACACACTGAAGTACCTGAGAAGTAGTACAAGATGCCAAATATATTTGGGCCCCTGCTAACCATGTAGGAGACCAAGAAGGAAGCTGGGCTCCTGGCTTTGGCCTAGACCAGTCCCTGCTTTTGTGGAGAGTGAACAAGTACACAGAAGATCTCCCTATCCACTCCCTTACTCTGTCACTACATAAAACTAAAGAGCACATTATTGATTACTTGTGTTTCAAGTGTCTTTTCTGTACTAGTGAGTTTACTACATGAATCTCTGACACATATCCCTTACATATACTTTTTAAATTTATTAATTTTTATTGGAAAAGCAGATTTAGAGAGGAGACAGAAATATCTTCAGCGTGCTGGTTCACTCCCTCAGTGGTTGCAATGGCAGGAGCTGAGCTGACCCAAAGCCAGGAGCTTCTTCCAGGGTCCCAAGGCTATGGACCATCCTTTACTGCTTCCCCAGGCCACAAATGGGGAGCTGGTTAGAGGTAGAGAAGCCGGCAA